AGAAAGAAAATGTTTTGAAAATAATGATGGCAACATATGTACAAATGTGTTTGATACAACTGATGTATGGATTATTATAAGAGCTGTAAGAGCCCTCAATAAAATGATTTATTAATTTTTAAAAATGGCTTACTTAGTAGCTGTCAAGAACATCTATAATCATACCTGCTGGTATCTGGACACTGGGTACATCAGCTTCACATCAAGTTTGGGATTGTATTGAGCGAGAGATTCATGATGATAGTGGTTAATGAGCTCCACCACAGAATTAAATGTCAGAGGATCAGAAAAGCCATATTTACCATCCCGATGGTAGATTTTTATTAACTTATTATTGCCTCCTTTCCTGTGAACAAGAAAACATCAGTTGTAGATTTCCCCCCAAAGTATCTAATAATGAATTACTATCATATGCATATTATGGTGTCACATAATAAACAACTTTTACTTGGGATGAAAAATCATGTATAAGTAAAAATATGCATATGGTATTATTTCACATTACTCCCTTTGTCCTTAAATACCTTGGGTTTCTAAAGGTCAACAAACCTTCACAATAATCAGTATCAACAAATCTAGCATAAATAATCACAAGAAAAATAACTAAGATTAGAGTAAATTGAATCTTTAATTTATTGTCTGATGAATTTTTTAACTTAAATGATATCAATCTTTTTCAGAGCGGGCATAGAGACAATCTATTTATGGCCTGAAGGTATGTGGAGGGAAGCAAAAGCTACCTCTATATGAAGGAAGATGAAAACTTTTTAAAAATAATAATCAATACACTCAAGGTTTTATTGTTAATACACAATCATAATGAATAATGTATAACCAGGAAATTAATCTAGCAGCTTGAACTACTTTGTCTTTATAGTTACATATAATTTTCAGAAATGAAGGTACACTTAGGACATCACAGCAGGTGAACGATTCAAATACCATTCAGCTGTTTTACAAAATATAGCTTTTGAAGAACCATGTATGTGAAATATGTATAATCTGATACTTGAAGAGTTTAGAACACCTTTGTTTACAGGGTCATACCCAAATGATCCCTTCAAAAGTAATTCATAAGCAAAGCTTAAAATGATAATTTTTTAAAGCAGATTTTGCACTATTTCCATTCAGCTCTTCCTATACCAATATGCAAACTTAATGAGAAAAACAGAGATAGGCCTCCATATCTCATCAAGTCATGTTATTATACATGCTAAGTGAGGCAGTAGAGTTGTGAAATATCAAGCCTAATGGATGTGAGTCTATGGTGTGATTTAAATTTTAAAAGCTTGGAGATCAGTACTTATATATGGGTGATGGACTATTCCTATAAGATATATTTTAGGATAACCTAATCATTTTCAGTTACTATGAGTAGCCACCCCCTACCATTTAAATAAACACAAGCTAGTTTCTGTTTAAAAAAAGTTTTAAAAGCATTCAACCAGTAAAAAAAAAACTTAATAAGGTACTATCTGATGAAAATTAAAGACAACAACCTTCAGTATGGATTATACCTCAAGATAAAGAAAAATGAAACTCCTCACAGCTGGACCAACAAGTAACTTCATGACAAACAGTGAAAAGATTGAAGTTGTTAAGGATTTAATTTTATTTAGATCCAAAATCAACACTCATGGAAGCAAAAGGCAAGAAATTAAGTGACACTGCACTGGGCAAATCAGTTCCAGGGGACCTCCTTAAAGTGTTAAAGAACATACATATCACTTTTGAGAACTAAGGTACACCTGACCCAAACCAGCGTATCTTCTACTGCTTCATGTGTATGCAAATGCGTGACAATGAATAAGGAAGCCTAGAGAAGATTGATACATTTGAATTCTTGTGTTGCAACTGCCAGAAGAACAAACAAATGTGTCTTGCAGAAAGTACAACAAAAATCATCTCATATACTTTGGACATGTTATCAGAAGAGATCATTCTTTGGACAAGGACACCATGTTTGGTAAAGGGTCAACAAAAAGAAGAAGACCCTCAGTAGGATGGACACAGTTGGATGCAACAATGGGTTTTCAGGATGGCATATGCTGCGCAGCATTTCCTTCCTTTATACTGAGCTGACTAAAGCACCGAACAACAACAATAGCGTATTTCTCTGCTGATGGGAATGACCCAGGACAGAACATAAATTACTGATTCAAAAGAGAGCACAAGATAATTCTTAGAATGATCTCTTCAAATAGTTTAGAGCAGCATTTCTCAATCTGTGGGTCACGACCCGTTTGGGGGTCAAACAACCCTTTCACAGAGGTCACCC